GCGCGTGCAGAAAAAGTATCTGTGAAAGGCAGCAATGCTTCAAATCTCATGACACATCTGCGTGACCATCACCCACAACTCTACAGTCAACGCAAGGCAAGTTAACATTAGCGTTTTAGCTAAAATGTGTGATCCGAGGATTTGGGTTGAGGGAGAATGCAACGAGTCGCTATATAAAGCAGCCGCAGCACCCGCTACCTGCATATGAACCGTGTCACGGACACCCCCTTATTGAAATGACGCTATGCATTACGGGGCTCCCAGGGGCAGATAAGAGTTGGTCTCTCTCCGAGAATAATTATGAATTTAACAATGATTACTGCCTGATGACATTTTCCCAAATCTGCAAAGCTCACCGGAAGGACACAAACCGAGGACAATATTTTCCTAATATTGGGTTTATTACTCAAGTAACGGTAAAAAGGTATCCGATTAGAAGGCTACTTGAGTACTGAGTATCATCTGATCTAATATTTTTAAAATGATGACATCAAACAGACAAAAATTAAGAAGTTATGGGCAAATATTGGTATTTTAAAGACTAAAGGGGAAAATGTAAACAAATAGACAACATATTTACAAAACAACAATTTTTAGACAAAATTTAGACACAAACTGAGGACAATATTTTCCTGATATACAAGGTTTATTTAGTTGTCTGAAAATGTAACACGTTTTAAAAAAAATGCGATAATACCGAAAACCCTGATAATTTTGGTCACAATAAACGTGAGGTTAAATTTTCACACCGTGACAACCCTACCTATGACTGACTGGAAATTGGTTGTTGTTGTTGTAATTGTTGTTGTTAGCATCATGGGCAACATGCCGATTATCACTTTTAAGTCACTTTGGACAAAAGCGTCTGCTAAATACATAAACATAAACAAACATAAACATAAAAAACAACCGTAACAGCTCAGCCCATCGCCGCTGGTTGATTCATTCGTCCCACCGCCCAACCTTAGCCCACAGGCGATGCTAATCTTTGCTTTGAAACACTTTTATGTTGTAGAGAAAATATTGTTATATCTGTCAGCTGTTGCACATGTTCTAAATGCACTTTGTTGTAGTCTTTTGTAGTCCTACAGCGAAAAATTTTAAAGGTGCTTGACACTTGGTGTTTTTATTAGAGAACATATTTAATTTTACAGTCTTTCTCAGGAGGCCTTTCAGTTACAGGCCTATACATTTGTAATTTATTATTTCTATTTATTTATAATTTATTCTTATTTTTATTAATTAATTTTTTCGTTTATTTCATTCAAAATAAAAACAAATAAAACATATAAACAATAAGAAAAACATAACAAAAAATCAAATTTGAACGAAAAGGAGCAGAATGAAGAAAACATCTTATAATTTCTGCCCCCTTTTCCAGTAGAAATAATCAATTTATATATAATTATCATTTGTCAGACACACATACAGATTCATTTAAAACTTTTTCCTATTCTAAATTCCAGCGCTATCATGATCATTTATTTAATTTACATTTTCACAATTATTTAGTGGGCTGCGCAGTGGTTAGAGCTGTTGCCTTGCAGCGAGAAGGTCCTAGTTTCGATTCCCTGGATCTTTCCGCATGGAGTTTGCATGTTCTCCCTGTGCCTGCGTGGGTTCTCTCCGGGTACTCCGGCTTCCTCCCACCATCAACAAACGTGACTGTTAGGTTGATTGATCTGTCTAAATTGTCCATAGGTGTGAGTGTGTGTATGCATGGGTGTTTGTCCTGTGTGTCTCTGTGTTGCCCTGAGATGGACTGGCTCTCTGTCCAGGGTGTACCCCGCCTGTTGACTGCTGGAGATAGCCCCCCCCCCCCCCCCCCCCGACCCTGCGTGGACAAAGCGGGTTCAGAAGATGGATGGACAATTATTTAGTACACTCAATTTGGTACATTTTTTTGAAAATATTAAATGACAAAGATTTTTTTAATTTCCCTTTTAAGGTTATTCCATAATTTAACACCATTTACAGATATATTCCACTCCTTAATTTTAGTTCTAAATCTAGGTTTTGTAAACACATCTTGTAATTACATCTTTCAGCATGTAATTACTAGTTCTCTTTTCAAATATCCCCTGACTTTATACATGGTTTGTATGATTTTCCAGTCTTTTAAATCATGAAATTTCAGTAATTTATATTTAATAAACAATGGGTTTGATGGATCTCTACAGCCACTATAATTGGTGATTCTCAGAGCTCTTTTCTGTAAAATAAATAAGGGTTGTGTATAGTTTTTGTATGTTGCTCCCCAGATTTCTACACAATAAGTCAAGTATGGAACAATCAGTGAATTGTACAATGTCAACAAACCAGAAATAGTCAGTAAAAACTTGACTCTATGTAATACTCCTAAGGATTTCAAGTGGTGCTCGCTGCAGAACCACAAAGGCGGAGCTGCACCAGAAGGGGGGACTGCACCAGAGTCAGCCCCGCCCATTCCATCAGAGTCAGTCCAATTGCTTCAGTTGTCAGACTTGATAGCATTCTGGAACCAAAGAGGGTGTTATAGCTATTATCATCTCAAATGCAAGATTGAGGACGGAGTTGAGAAGTTAATTGAACAGTTTTTGTAATTAAAAATCTAACTTTTGGAACTTTTTACCATGTTATATTGTCGTTTCCTCATAAGAAACATGCCAAAGCCATTTTTGAACTCATTCATGCATTTTCCTCTCATCTCAGCTTCAATTTGGTCTCCTCCCCTGAAGCGGGTCTGGTCTTGGTTCTGAAATCTGGATATTCTGTGAATTTTCTGACAAATTATTTCTGAAATGACTTCTACTGAGACACCACCGAAAAACCATACACTCCATCTACAAAGACACTCTGGATGACACAATTACATGTAAAGCCACATGCATTTTATCAGATGTAGTAGTGAAGTGGTTATGGAGTTAGACTGGCATGCAATTTTGCGCAGGTTCACCTCCCAGTAGCGGCAGTGTAAAGGTAGTTTATAACTCTTTTTACTCTTTTCTAGCTACACTTGCCAGTATTATGTTTACAACAATTTATTGGTATACCGTTTAATAGGGTTGTCGCGATTGAAGAATTCCCCCTGCGGTGAGTCAGGGCAGCTCAATATTGCGATATGCGATATTATTGCACCCCGTTTTTATTTATGTACTTAGCAAATTTGTTTGTTAATTACTAAACTCATGGCAATATTTCCTTTGAAACATTGTGCTTACACATTTAAAAAATATTAGAAAAAATACATGGCCATGTTTAACACTTTATTGAATGCAGATAAAAGGGCAGTAACGGCATTCTCTGACTGAACTTAAAAACAACATTCAGGAGGTTTAACTTTGAAATGCAAATTTGGTTGCAACATCTAACAGAAATAAAAAAAAGTGCCCTACTATCTCCTCGATCAGCGCGGACTTTACCTCTCAGCATGCGCTGTCGCGAGATTTAATCAAGTGCGGTAATTGCGGTGGCACGTCATGCAGCGCGGTGGGTTTCTTAATATCGCGATATATTGTTCTTGCGATTATTGCGACAGCCCTACCGTTTAACATATAATGACTAATGTGTTTTTTATTTTTCATTTATTCGTTTATTTAGCCAGTGTGAGTCTATTTGTGAGCAAAGTTTAAACTAAAATGCTGTTTAGGAACGACCAAATTCAAAGAACTTTTAGAGACATAAATATTTTGCAGAAAATAAACATTACAACTAAAATATAAACAAATTAAATGTTTCAGCTGGCTAAATAGATTCCTGCCGAACCCACAGAGTGTCGAACCAACATCAGCTGAGAGGAAAGCAAATGTTACATCAGACGATCTTGCCACTGGACTACCAGAACCCATTCAGTAGCCTTAAATGCTGTTGGAAAATCTGGTTTTGTTGGAGCGGCTGTGGGCAGATATTCGCTAAAAGAAACCTTTTCATTTCGGGATATATTCAGGCTTTGTCATGTAGCAAGTTAAATTTATCTTGTTTAAATGGAGCATAGAACATAGCATTAACAATTGTAAACTAGTAACAGCCGTAATTCATGTGGGTCAGGTTAGTTTGCGATAAAGTTAAAAAACAAAAACAGAAGAAGTCAGTGGGCTAGGCTGAGTTTGCGTGAATGGGCGGGGCTGACTCTGGTGCAGCTCCACCTTATGGTGCAGCTCTGCCTTTGTAGTTGTGCAGTGAGCACCCTCTCAAGGATTTGGCAATTTTACCTTTTATGTAACTAATATGGGATTTCCATGACAAGTCTTCGTCAATAAGAACTCCTACAAATTTATTTTCTTTTACTCTTTGAATTGCAATCCCATCTATTTCCAATGACACATCACTGTTATTTTTATCATTAAACAGTATAACATTTGTTTTATTAAGATTCAGTGTCAATCTATTTATATCAAAACAGTTTTTAATTTTAATCAGTTGATCATTTATCACTTTAGCCACCTCCTCAATATTTGATCCTGAGTAAAACAGTGTTGTATCATCTGCAGCAGGGGGGAGACAGTCTGAGGGTAGTTTGATAGCTCACAATGATTGGACGAGGGTTTTCCACGATTGTACATTTAGGTGATTAGGTATCCTTTTTTGACAAAACATTTTATTTATTGCTTGCCATCAGTATGTAAAGAGCATTTCAAGCAATAAGGCAAAAACAACTCATACTGCAGCTTTAAAGCTTGGCAATGTCTTCCACAATAATCTTCTGTTTTGTCTTTCAGGTGTTACCAGTTGGCTCTAAACACCTGAAGGCAAAATTTCAGAAACCTTCAGTTCCTCTCTTCCTCCCTTCCTGGTCTTTGTTCTTTTATTTAGCTGGTGTCTCCTCACTCCTCTGGATTCCTCCCAAGTTTACCCCCACTAACAGCCTGGCGGACCCATTATAATCAGAATAATATATCCTGCAATATGAAATCATATACTAGGCTATTTAAACTAAGCTTCAGGTGTGGTGATTCGCAACACACACACACACACACACACACACACACACACACACACACACACACACACACACACACACACACACAAACGCACACGAGCGAGTTGCCGGGGGTCCATTTATCATAAGCAAGACTCATCTAGGCTAGAACAAGAGCAGCAGATGAACAATCTTTCACTTGCTGCTGAGCTTGTCACAAATTCAGGCAAAATGTGAAGTTGGGTCAGCAGCACAGAGGCTGAAGGTTTGCTGTTTAGGATTGTTTCAGCCAAACCTTTTACTGACTTAAAGGCACAGTCCGCAGGATGACGCCGTCAGGGTGAGGAGGAGGAGATTTTTAAATTCGAACGGCTGTTGCTCACTCCCCCGCCCTTCCTGAAAGAGCCGAAAGCCACACCTCCCAATGTGCACGCGCAGGAAAAGCAGAGTCAACATCGGAGCATTGCTTCTTGTAATAGAGCTGAGCTAGTGTTAGCAATGGAGTTATCTGAGGTAAGAAAGTTGTATTTAACCAGCACATTAAACACTTACTGTTTACAAAAGGCATTTTATAAAGAATATCTATAAATATATTTATATTTTAAAATACCAGTAACAGTTGGCAATCTATATTGTAAATAAAATTAATCCTATCAAATTGTTAGCATTTTATTACAAGTAACTAGCTCCATGCTTTCGTTCTTTTTTAAACACAGAAACAGTTTTGTTTACCTGTTTGTAGCTACGGTTTCGCCGACAGCTGCCGGCTTCTTCAGGCTGACGCTGATGGTGGCGCGTCACTTCCTTCTCCGTTTATCTGCGGGCAGCAGAGGACGTTGTCGCCCTCTACTGCCCGCTCTCCCCTCTCCGACGATGCAGTCCCATGCGTGGTCCAGCGTGTAAACTCCGTCGTCCCTGTTCATGGTCCCACATCCACGTCTCCTTATCTCTATTGCTTCCTTGATCCATCTTTTGTATTTTTGTTGTTCGGTGGTTATGATCCGTGTGCTGTCCCAGTCCATTATATGGTTTTCTCTTAAGCAATGATCTGTTACGGCTGACTTTTTTATTGTACTTTCTGCTTCTTCTTTTGCTGCTCTTGTGTGTGCTCCTGCGCATACCCGACATGGGCAATAAACAAAGGAAAACAACAAACAAAAACAGAAAGCAAAGAACAACCCAAAAAAGGAACGAGAAACCCAGAAAGACAAGAACCAAAACCAGTGATAACCCTACCATACATCAGAGGCATAACGGAAAAAATAAGAGCAACAATGAAAAAACACAACATAAACACACCAACAAAGCCATACACAACAGTTAGAAACAGACTAGTACACCCAAAAGACAAAATATCAGCTGGACAAAAATGTGGAGTCATCTACGAAATCCCATGCAAACTCTGCAATAAAACATACATAGGAGAAACCGGACGCCAACTCAATACACGGACAATAGAACACAGAAAGGAGTGCGAGAAAGAGGCAAATCGTAAACACACAAGAGCAGCAAAAGAAGAAGCAGAAAGTACAATAAAAAAGTCAGCCGTAACAGATCATTGCTTAAGAGAAAACCATATAATGGACTGGGACAGCACAAGGATCATAACCACCGAACAACAAAAATACAAAAGATGGATCAAGGAAGCAATAGAGATAAGGAGACGTGGATGTGGGACCATGAACAGGGACGACGGAGTTTACACGCTGGACCACGCATGGGACTGCATCGTCGGAGAGGGGAGAGCGGGCAGTAGAGGGCGACAACGTCCTCTGCTGCCCGCAGATAAACGGAGAAGGAAGTGACGCGCCACCATCAGCGTCAGCCTGAAGAAGCCGGCAGCTGTCGGCGAAACCGTAGCTACAAACAGGTAAACAAAACTGTTTCTGTGTTTAAAAAAGAACGAAAGCATGGATGTACAAAGACACAGCAAGAACACACCTAAGAAGTAACTAGCTTATTTTTAATTGCTTTGCCATTCAAGATGGGATGAATATATCAAAGCATATAAATAATTTATGTGGAAATCATGAATAAACACTGCATTCTGTGTAGTCCTCCTATAATCATGGTTGTTTTCATAGGGTTTCTGTTTATTGTTGGTTTAGCCCAAATTTTGACTAGATGTAAACCTGATCTGTGTCAAAATTGATTAATATGCAAGAGTACTTTTTATATTAGTATTTTTTTTTTATTCTAATACAATTTAGAGTTCAGTGATTGAGGAATCCTCAGAGGAAGAGTTTGAACCTCCTATTGCATCCTCAAGACGTGGTGCAAAAAGGAGATGCCCAACATCATCTCAAAGCCGTGGTGCATCCAGAGGCCGTGGTGTGTCTAGAGGCCGCGGTGCATCCAGAGGCCGAAGAAGTGTGAGACACTCAGCTGTGGACCTTGGAGATGATCTCTCTCGAGTTCGGAATCTTTGTTCTGAGCGAAGACTTTGAACGTGTAAGCATAACTGTTGCTGTAGCATCTCTTTCCACTTTTGTAGTAACACATACAGAACCTGAACCCTCAGCAGGCTACTGACATCCTTACCATGGTGCTGGACAGACACTGGTGTTCTCTTTGATGTACTTGCCCTCTCTGGTCCACCTGCCACAACACCTCCAACACCCAATCAACCTTCATGGTGTGTATGCTCCCACTGCAGAGATATGCCAACTGATTTGGAAAAGAAATGCTGCAAACAGCCTCCCCAGACATGTATTTCAACTGTACCACACATGGAGGAGTTTATTCTGCAAAATTCCCTGACCCCAATGGTAACTACACTGGTTTTATTCCAAGACGATTGTAAATAAATGTATATATTTGATATTTTACATAAGTTTGTTTTTATATATTTTTGTTTGATGCTCTAATAAAGTGTTCTAAAGCACAACTCTGTGTTGCATTTGTAAAAATACCATAAATTTTAAAACTCCTGCACAACAACAAAAAATTATGTCTACCTCCAACATTTTACATAAATTTTTAAATTATTAGTCCTTATTTCCCCAAAATATATCTTTATTTTCAAAAAAAAAAAAAAAAAAAAAACAGGAAACAAAAATAAAGAAGGTTTTGGGTTTTCTCTTGCCTCCCCCAACACCTACGTCTGTGGCAAAGTTTTACCTGTAAATAAAAAATAAACTCAATTAGCAATGGACTATTGTGTGGAAGATGTAAGGCAGATAATGTTTTATTTTACCATCACCGCGAGTCCGTAGGTGTTGTAGAAGTTCCTCTGTTGATGGTGCAGGAACTCCGGACAGCAAACCATAACGCCTTGGATCCTCAGGCCTTAGCTTGTAGCGTCGAGGAAGACCTTTCTTGCTTGTCAAACGTCGGTCAGTTGCTTCTGGGATATTACAGTCATGAACTGTATCCTCTATGTTAATTTCTTGCAGAGTCTCAAGTTGTAATGTTTTTTGTAATGCTGCTCCAGTCCTGTGAACAAAAGCTTTTTATTAACTATGCGCTATTGCAGTTTTATAGAATGTTAAACCAGTGGTTCCCAAACTTATTTAGCCGCGCACCCCCTTCTATGTCCCGACCATGTCGACGCACCCCCCAGCCCCCACATCAGGGCATGGCTATATATATATATATATATATATATATATATATATATATATATATATATATATATATATATATATATATATATGTATATATATATATATATATATATATATATATATATATATATATGTATATATATATATATATATATGTATATATATATATATATATATATGTATATATATATATATATATGTATATATATATATGTATATATATATGTATATATATATATGTATATATATGTATATATATATGTATATATATATATATATATATATATATATATATATATATATATATATCAGACGTCAAGCTAAACAGACAGGGTTAATAAATATGATCGACCTTCTTCCCCATCACTTTCATTTTTTAAATAGTAATTAATAAACATTCGATACCATTACGATTTCCTTTGATTTAATTTTAAATAAATATTTAGAGTGCCCAGGTAGAACATAAACAATGCAATTTAATGGTTTTCTTAAAGTAGGAACGTTTAACCTGTGCGGCCAGAGCGCTCTCCTTCCTTCTGCTCTGTGTAAACCTGAACTGGTCACCTACTTGTGCGCAATCAAATGTCTATAGGGGAAAATATGGAAAAGCCATGAGGTTCACTTTTGCCTCAGACCGACTTATTGCTGTTTTATGGTGTGACTGAATCTGCGATCCGCTGCCACGCGGACTGGAACAACAAATGCTGCAACAGGGGTTGTAGTCAGGTTCGGAGTCACTGGCTGGAGCGGACCCGACTTTAATACGTCATCCCAAAATAGAAGCTAATATCTTAATTTGACCTGGAATGAAAAATGTTATAAAACCTCTTAAAAGTTTTTATCACAGAGGAGGCAGCGCTGATTTCTGGGGCGCCGGAGTTTGCGCAGCGTGCGCTCTTACCCCCAAATTCCACTACCTCCGCTCCGGTCCGCCCCCGCCCTCCGCAGCCGCTCGCTTCCGAACTCAATTTTTACTGGTACCCGCTCTACAACGGCTCCGCTCCGGTGCGGAGACCTGAGGGGGGCAAACAAGCATGCGCGGGATTTTCGAGATCTTGCGATACAGTCAGTCCGAGCAATAAACGCGGAAGTTAGATCCAAACACCCGTTGTGTGGGAGAAGCATCGACATGAACTGTTTAATCTGCCCATCATTTGTGTTGAGAGATCAGCAGTGTTTGGATCAACAAAGGGTGACTACTTTGATAGTGGAAACTGTATTTATGGCTTACTTTTGTGCATTTAAACTTCAGCCGCCATTGATAGTTGTTAAAAGTTGTTAAACCTGTGCATATGAAACAAAAAACGCCTTTTGTTTATCGATTTATTGTGAAAAACGGAAAGTGTGCTTGCTCCTTTTCCTGTTGGACGGTTGTGATTTCTGTCCATTTACTGCGGAGGTGCTCCGGCGTCCGGCGAAAATAGGATGGATTCTATTTTTGCCGGACGCCGGAACAGAGGGTGCCGCACGGCGCCGCACTGCCGGAGCACGGCCGCAGTAGTGGAATTGCTCTGATTGACTACAACGGGACCGATTTTGCTCCGGCGTTCGTGTCGGAGCGGAGCGGAGGTAGTGGAATTTGGGGGTTATTGAATCTGCGTGTGTGTGCGCGCGCGCGCGCGCGCGGCACAGCTCCATGAGCCGCTCCAGTCACCGCGCCTCGTTATTTGGCGCTATTTAAACCAATGTTGTAAAATGACTTCTGCCCAGCCCAGATGTGCTCACTTGTGCACCCGTGAGCCGTGGTTCCGCTGGCAAGCGTCTGACCTCTGACAGACGCACTCTGAACTTCAGATCTCCGGCACGCTGTCAATAGCCTGAATGGGAAACATTTCTTATTTATTTAGTTACATCCACAATGTTCTGTGTGTGAGGTTTACAATGTCAGAACACCTGCATGAGACAGGTGTTAATTACAATCTGCCAGAATGACTCACCTTCAGATTCCGCCAACACCGTTAAAAATGATCAAATACGGAACATATCGCCAGGCGTGCGCAGGCCAGAGTGCTGAAGCTCGGCGCATTGTTATTATGAAGCTAGGGCACATGTGGAGGACACACACACGTGCGCGCAAAAATATACTTGTTTTCAATTATATTTATTGTGCCCACTTACGTTTTCTTAGGCCCGCCCACAAATGAGTTTCTGGCTACGCTAATGGTGACATATGACAGACTTCTCTGAGCTCCGCAGCCATTACACTTTTCACCTCGCGCACCCCCTAGCGGCAGCTCGCGCACCCCCGGGGGTGTGCGCACCACACTTTGGGAATCCCTGTGTTAAACGAAAGGAATTACCTTATGTGTATATAAGGTGTGTAGTCCTCATCACCGCTGTCATCAGTACCGCTGTCCATCTCGATGGTTTCGTCCTCCTCTGAAGACGAATCAACTTCTGGTTCTCTGTTTGGTGACCATGTGTCATCTGATGACTATCCTGAATATACACAATATAAAGTTTTTAGTATGGAAAATTAGACACATTTTATTAACATCTGAATACTTACACAGAGTTTTGAATATTGTTGAACTCTTCCTCGTCAATGTTTGCTTCAATTCCCACACAAGATAACCTAAAAAAGTAATTATTGTTTACTTTTCCTGACAAATGTGACAGCCGTATACAGATACAACCTTGTACTTACATTTGTGAAGATCCTTCTTTTTTAGTTTCACCTTGTTCCATCACCTCCTCCAAATTATCATCCCTATGAAAATAAAATACAAGCACAAGAATATGATTAGAATCAATACATATTTTGTCATTTTGAAGGTAACAGACCTCGTCTATTGGCCGTCATCATCACCCTCTCCTTATTTTTCTCACTCTACTTACTACGCATTTCTCTGTATCCACTGAATTCCTTCTTTACAAATAATTTCCTGTCTCTCTCTTTACATTTTAAAAACACAATTGTGTTATTTTTTTCTCATAAACTTTGAAATAAAAATATAATTTTTTTAAATATGTTTAATTTTGTTGTTGTGAAGTGTCTCAAGAGTTTTATCTTGAGAGGCGCTATATAAAATGTAGTTTTACTATTTATTTCTATACATTTTTTATAGTCATTCATTATCCCATTTCTAGAATTTTTTCAAAATAATCCACCACTAACTTAAAACAAACAGAGGCAAAATTATAATATTCCTGGTAGGTTTTTACGCAGCTATTTACCTTTCAGATGACTCTCCATGAATGCTAGACAGAGCTGGCACTGGTGTTGGAGAAATAAACTGTTGGCGCTTCAATGGTGTAGATGTTGATGCTTCATATTTGGACTGATGACTGTAAAAAACAAAGCCCAAAAATTTGTGATCACAAGCTAAACAAGTCTCCCCAGCCTTCACAGATTTTTGCACGAGCTGATTAGAATTCCTTTTATTTTAATATGGAGTTTTCACGTAGGTAAGACCACAAACTCAGACGGTAATCTGTACATGTGGCCCACCCAGGTTAGCACAATATGTCTTTCAGTGCTAATGGAAACGTAAGGTTTTGGATACGTTCCTGATCAATCACACCTAATTCTAACTGCTGAATCATCTCCTCAGACTTCTACAAGTGCTACATGAGCTGCTGATTACTCGTTTTAATCAAACACGCAGCTCAGGCAAGTGTAAACACCTAATTCAGCTTTCAAGATGCTAACTGAACCCCGCTAACGGGGAAGTTATAAACAAGAGCTTAAAACAATATACTGATGTGGCCTATAGTTAAATGCCACACTAATCATTAGCTCCCATATAAACAAAAAACTAAAATCCCCTTTCGTTACTCAAACTTCTTCCAATATAGCATAAATAGTTCGACTAGCATCGATTCATGTCGACTTAGCATTCAAACTAATGCTACATTAGCCAATAGGACACCAAGCATACAAAGCTTGTTTGCTCTATTACTTCTTTCAGTGAAAGAAAGATTATAAGTAAATTTATCCGAAAAACAATAAATAACTTACCTGTCTAAAAGATACTTTGCCAACTCTTCATCCGTTTTCAGGCCGTGTAGATCACGAAAATATCTCCATCGTGTGTAAAACAATCTCCAAAGTAAATTCTACTCGACTGTCTTAAACGTCTTACAGCCACTTTTGAAGAAGGGCTTTTAAACTTTTTAAATGTTTTTTGAGATGTGGAAGGCAGTCGAGGAATCGGTAATTTGGGGTTTTGTTGCTCCAAGTTTCTGCAGTAAGCCGAGTGAGGTGCGTGACACTGTTGTGCACGCTGAGATCTGCTCGTGCTCGATGATTGACAGCTGCCCCCTGGTGGAAACGCAGCGCTATTGGTCAATGCGTTAGGCTTGCTGAAATATTGGCTGAGCTCTACAGGGCAGGGGAGGGACTTAAGAGAAAATTGAAATATTAAAGATTATTTACTTTTTTTAATAAAATTGGGTCAGATGGTCAAAATCAAACATTTTTAAAGTTATTCTACATTTAAATGTTGCAGAC